GACCATCTCCACTCATCAGCATAAAATGGGACAGAGTATGTTGACATGCTGAATACAAGACTGAACCAGGGACTAATGGATGTCAGAACAAATGCAGAAATGTGAATTGCTCACTTTTGGATAGAATAAAGCTAATCAGCAGTAGTTATAACAGTCACAAGTGAAGATTTCAGTGGTATTTAAATCTGTCTACCTCATTTGCTGAACTCTGATTTGGTCATATTTCTACCACTTATGTTGAAGTGTTTCATAAATAATACCAAAAGTTCTATGAAATTTCACACATATATCCACACAGGAGCGTAAATGAAGATTATTTCAAACTGATAATCATGTTTATTGAAAAATACTCCTTGAATTCATAAAACAATGCGATTTGACAAAATAAAAATTTCGATTTTAAGATGATTCAGCTGAAATTAGTGTGTTGATTGAATTTCAAATCAGATTTAAAGAAAATACTGAACTCCTACTTTGATTCGGCTATATTTAAGTATCATCTAATAAAAACTGGGAAGTATAATTTAACTTGCGATTAACTAAACACCAAATATCAAGACGATAACGTACAACAAAAACACACATTAAATGGAATCAACAGCGTTCTATAAAAATAGTTGGAAAACATGTGGACTGTTGTCCTTCTTAGTATATGGAGTAGCATGCCGTAGGTTTATATGTTCATAGAGTAATCTCAATATTATGGAAAGCTTCCTTATTTTTGCAACGACGCACATCATAAGGTTAGTGAGATTTGCTCAATGTCTCGACAAAATTTAAAGGTTATCAAGGTCTATTTTTAGTGCAGACATGAAACCATCCTCCGATGCACACAATCGCTTTGAAGAATATTCCGTCATTGTGAGAACTTTGGAGGCAATCGAATGTTTGAAAGCATAATATAATTAACTCTACTTCATCGAAGAAAATATGCCTATAATCAAAAATATCAAACTGGAAAAATGTAAAGCAGTATAGCATCCCATTTCACACAAGCTGTAACTTATTGTTCCAAAGCTGTAAGATTATTTTATTATTATTATTATCGACTGATCTTGCTTCAAAATCCTGATTCATATTTATCTTATAAAAATATCAGTTTGAAGAGTTAACACTGAAATTTGTTTCTGAATCTATTTGGTACTCATATATTTGAAAGTAATATCGCTACAAAGCTGTAAGATGTGCATTTTCAGTGCTTATTTGTAACGGTCAGACATCATCAAACCTTGACGATAAACAAGTATTGCGAGAATGCCAAAATCAAAATAGTTTATTCCATCTGCACCCAAATGTAAAGTGCACTATAACCGACTTTACATCATGAAGATAAGTATAAGAACTGCATTCAGTCAGATTTTCATTTCTGAGGTGAAATAAGCAGCGTTAGGTGAACGCGAGCAGAAAACCGAAGTAGATTTATGTCATGGTTGTGATTCTTGCGCTTGACGGACGTGTCATATTTCACTGCTCTATATGATATTCTCTGACTGAGGGTAAAATACAGTGATTCAACCTGTGATCATGAATGATTAAATGGTTTGTCCCGACTGACTTAAGGAAGGCAGCCTTCATTTCTACCCATATATCAGAATAATACCACAGTAGAAACCACACTAAGAGCTGGAGCCTATAGTTACACGAATAAAGTAGCTCAGTATGACTGTTGTCAGCTCGTACCAATCTTGGTACATGGATAGACGCCGGAATTTCAGGGCTTATGCATGTGACTATACCAGAGTTTCAGTCACTGTGGTAGCTGTGCAGCCTTTCAATCGTATCTGAGAAAACGCGTGCTGGCTTGCAGCAGGTAACGCCACAGAGACACTAAGATCACAATGTGCCTTCCAGGTGCACACTAGAAAAGGATTTATTATCACTATTAAGTCATCTGAATGCGTTTATCACATTCGAATCGATTCCATTCAGGCTCTTAAGTTTTATTTCTGCGTACAACGGAAGCAGCTTCAATTCAATTCTGATTGACAACTGTATCCAAACATATAAAAATTATAACTAATCGCTGTGCCATAACAATAACCAGCAGACGTAATAGAGGCAGTATTGCGTTTTATAAAAGTTGAATTTTATCTCTGCAGCATAATTGCTCTGTCATCCTGATGCCACGCTCTAACAAAAACTTTACGTTTCCTAAATATGAAGCATTTCACATACTAAGAAATAATTCGTGAATGCTACCTCTGATCAGGTGCCTCATCATACGGAAAATTAGCACAGTAAACGATTTCATCGCTATATTTAAATGTGGATAAATGTGAGATATTCCATCCTATATTAATTTGCTTTGTGTTTATTGATCATCATGGAATGAGTTCAATTATTCAAATATTGAGGTTTCTTAATCAAAGTTCAGGCCACAAAATATCAGGCCAGCTGTGTAATTCCTAGCATAAGAAAAATTCACGTTTGAAATTGAGACCTCGTGGTCTGATTAAATTTCGTTTTATTGGTGAGAAATTAACAGACTGTTATCGAAATTCCTATCAAAAATGGTAATTATGATGGTTTTAGTGACCCAGACAATATCTGTAATGATGAAAATATGTGAAAAGTTGAAATGCATTATAATTTTGATGAAATAATTCACCCATTGCGTATAAAATGGCTTTGCGGATGTATTACAGCTGTGAGGATGGAGCACAAAATTTGTTTTTGGAGGCTTTACGACCTGTGAAGCGGGCAGCAAAGATGAGCAATATTATGAACCAGAATTGCAATGACGTAGTTGCACGACCAAGCACGGTAAATGAAATTTTCCTTTTGGTTGCACACAAACTACCGTCATGTGTCTATTCCTGTGTTTGCTGTAGAATGGGTTCCATCAGTCGAGTTTGTAAATCGACCATCATGTTAGGTGGACCGCCATCACGATGCAGTCAGAACTGTTGTGGTAAGATTGTTAGAAGAAGTCGGCCAGAAGCTTTGGAGCTATGTCTCGCGCCACTAATTAATGTAAGGCTGTATCGAATAGAATGATGTTAGCCCTCCTACTCTACTCACAAGGAGGTGTTGGTAGTAGATATTCAGCGTCCACACCATATCGCCAACTTATATCAGGCAGTAAAGTTTTGAGAAATGCAGCTGATCCAAAACTTTGTTTAATGACTTTACTAGTCATAAAGGCGTATCGAAAGATCGCTTTCAACTTGTAATTTATCTAGTTACAACATATAAACATGTTGCATCTCAAACATTACCGGCCATGATTACCTCGATTCATAAATGTATAAAATTACGTTGAGGCGTTGAAACGCATTTTTACAGTCTCCTAATAACGTCATTCTAAAGTATTTCAGCAGAATTTTGTGCATGAGTAGAAACGTGGTCATAGAACATAACGTTCAAACTTGACTAAGTCCAAACATGTCTCCTAGAATTCTTCGAAATGTCATTCTAGGAAACTGTATCATCATATATTTCAAACTGGATGAAATAGCGACGGAAAGGGAATCGCCCTAGCGCCATATTATCTGAAGTTACCATTGCTGACCAGTTTGGATTCGTATAAAACTCTCAAACGAAAGGCTTTTCACGTAGGCAAATTATGTTCTATAAATAGTATAATTTGGGAATGTGTTTAAATTTCCAAAGATTTGAAATGATTAACAGGAGGCTGACGATGGTTAACGTGACATCGTTTTCCACAGAGCGTGTTATTTTAGAGGATGAGCGATGTTGATGAATACATAATATACACATGAACATATTTTCTCAAGTATAAATCTCCTGAATTGAATTGTAGGTCTGCAAGAATACGAAGCAGCGACAAAAGTGCGTTCCTCAAATTTTTTGAATGGATTACAAGGAAAAAAGGCATGGAGGTCATGCGTGCTTAATCAAATAGAAATAATGCACAAATAACTAGTCATTAAACAACAGCGTTTCAAAGTGGCATGGATGGTTTACAGTTTAAGCCATCCAATTCAACAGTACAGGTCAGCACATAATTTTTAATGAGGAATGCTGTAGGCTAAACAGTTTAAGAAATTAGTTTATTTCCATTTCTTTTGCGGAATCGATCAAATAAATCATTGTTACGTTAGAATATTTTACGCAGTACTATAAGCTTTTTGTTTTGACAATATTTCAAGCAAAACTACCAAAACAAAATCCTTGTCAGTGAACTATTGAAATATAATTGTAAGTAATAAATTTATCGACACATCATATTAAGCATATAATTAGTCAAATTTTAATGCAACTGAATCCTTATTTGAACTAAATTTCTCAGTAGATGCGTCTTTTGAATTTGTAACCATAATCTTTCGCAAATTTGTAGTGGAATGGTTACCATGTTTTTACAATAAAACAAAACTTCACTAGTTTCAAGTTTGACTATGGACTGATATCAGTCAGCGAAGCACTGATAACCAACTTCGGCTGTACGAATCCAACGGAGATTGTGCCAAATTAACCAATCGTTAGAGTTCTTGCAGTGACCATTAGGTCGGATCCTTGTTGCTGAATAGTTTGTTACCTTCCTTTGCAACCGGAAGGTCCTGAATCCGTACTCCAATGAGCAGCACTGACGATGAGTCTCGAACTAGACAGAAAAAAATATATGTCCAGTAGTTCCCAGTGTTCTTCATTGGTCCTCTAACTGATTTCTATCCATGGCGAAAGTTGAAGGGAATCAAGCTACTCCCTACAAACTAATCCTTGAAAAATCCTCTCAGTTTGATATATTTATGAACATCAGTCCATTCTGTGAGTAATGATTGGTTGATTTGCCTTCACATGGATGATAACCATGCACAGCAACAGTAACTGTAACTCAATGTAATGTTGTTCTTTCTTCTGTAACCAATGAACTACTGACTGATTTTATATGCTACGTAGTATGCCGTGCTACTGGTTACATATAGCGACATCTTTAGATAGGTGAACACAAAAATGTGATACACATATGTACACCATATACATAATTAGTGTGTGTCCATGTATAAATATAATAAGGCTATATTGGAGAGATTTGGTCACAAGAATATTTTGCAGTAGATAACACTCATAACAAACACTGACGAGAGATTTCCAATCATGCAAAATTTACTACTGAAGGCATTAATTTGCCTTCTACTCCTTTTGTCTAATGACAGTGCAAGTAATGAATGTAAGTTGATTATTAATCCTTTTTAAAAAAAATTGTTCAAATATTATCCTTTTGTTTATTGTAGTTTTACATTTTGATCAAACTTTTCTAAACTTTATTTACAACATATAATTACCCATCACTATAACTATTTAGAGATGAACTTTAGAGTAGATTAAGCTATGAATTTAAATTAGATACAGAGTAATTGATCACCTGAATGGATGTTTGTTTGTGATGTAAATATCCATGAAGGCGTTGGTTGATAGTAGGACTATAATAGCAGATTAGCAAACGTAAGAATCCCTGTGCCAGTGGATTTCAAGTCAATGAATGAATGATCAGCGCGCCAGCGTCACAATCTGAAAGGTTAGGTCACTAGTGAAGTCACAGATGAATAATATTGAAGAGTCCTATTTTTTTTCCTTCACGTTCCCCAGTGGAACATAGGGCTTCAAGCTTGTGGCTTGAAGTTTCTGAAGCAGTGTTTATTTTACAGGATGGGGTTGTTAGCCCCATGGCCGACCTTTCCTCTCCACCATCATTATTTCTGGCTTAGCGAGGTAAAGGAGTGCGTCGGCAGGGGGTCGAACCCCGGACCATGTGCATGTTCGACGAGCGTCCTAGCCGCTATACCACCGACGCACGAAGAGTCCTATACTACGGAGAAATAGATGATTTTCAATTATGCTCTAAACCAATGTCAGTTCTGCATTCAAATTAATCAAAGGTTACTAATATAAGTACTGAAATCTGCGCATTTCAGTTTAGCCAGGAATAATTTTATTTAATCTTTAAATATTCCCATTTATAATAATAGAACAAGACACATAAGCGAACAATATGATTGGGGATTACCATACTTCAGCATAGAGGGATTAAGACCATGAAAGTTGGAGGGGTTAAACGAACTTTTTCTGTACACAGAGATCTGGCTTTTCTGTTTCGATAGCCAAAGCTTCAGCAATACAGATGAGTCGGGTACGTAGGGATTTGGGTAAATTACTCTTTGCCTTGTAGATGACTTTGAAGGCGGAGGCTATAGAGATAGGGTGATCATTATCGACCAGATGTTCAATGATCGCGCTTCTTACTGTTCCACTACCACCTTTTCGTAACCATGCAGGATAGTGTTCTTGCACCCTCTTGGACAAAACTCGTATCGAACGACCGATATACCTAGCCCCACACAAGCAGGTGAATTGATAAACACACATAGAGTTGGTCAACAGCGGGATCTTGTCCTTCAGGTTATTGAACAATAATGGTCGACTAGAAAAGGCTATTCTCAGGGATGCAGCAGGGAATGTTCTTTTCAGGGACTGTGATATCCCCCGTTTCATGATATCGGAAGCTAAGTCCCCTTTGAATTCCAAGCTCATGTAAAGTATCTTCTTGGGTACGGTTGATAACTCACGTTTTTTAGGATTTGAATGTATATTCTTATCTATAAAACGTGGTGGAAATCCATTTTCTATTAGGATTTTCCTCAAGATATACAACTCATCTTCCACAGTATCAGGGCTACATATGCGCAGAATACGAGTGGCAAACGACCGGGTCAGGTTTCGTTTTCGACCCAGCTGTAGAAATTTGTCAGTTGACCATTCCATGACAGCTTGCGATAAATCGATTTAATATCCAACTTTCATGGTCTTAATCCCTCTATGCTGAAGTATGGTAATCCCCAATCATATTTTAGCTCTACCAATTTTTCATTTTTCATTTTTTCATTTTTGTCTATTCAATTTTTATACTCTTCTTTACTAAGTTAATTGTTACTATTACTACTCTCACTTTTAACTGTCCCCTGTATTAATTCACTTGTTCCACTTGTCATTCTAAATCAATTCTTTAATGCAACATTAAATTCTATGCTATTAAATTTCACACAATATTACGTAACGTTTTTATTTTTTCGATTTGTCTACTAATCTTATAATTGCACACTTTTTTCAAGTTCTATCCATCCTATGAATTATTCTATATATGACACTAATTTGCTTTGCCACTGGACATTTAACTACGATTATAATCACAAACATTTTAGTGTTAATTGCATTTCATATTATTATTATTTCATGCATTCACACCTATGTTTCAATTCCCTCACAGGATATAACTTCTTAAAAACCACAGTGGTTAGGACTCTCGCCGACCATGTACATGGTCCGGGGTTCGAACCCCTGCCGGCGCACACCCGATATCTATGGTATGCCTGAATTTGGGCAACCGATATCCATGCTGAAAGTTCCACACTTGTACTGAAAATACGGTGTGGAAATCAAGCTGTAAATCAAAAAATATGTATATATACGATTGTACAGCTTGATGATAAATTCTTTGAAAAGAGTCTCTTCGCTGAATCATTTGTTTTGATTTTCAATAAGGTTTATGCAGGTGATAAGAATAAAAAAGATGGTAAATGTATATAAGTGAATAAATAATAAGTGTATAAATCTTAAAAGGTGAAGTGGAACGATAATCAGAGTTCAAATAAATATTATGAAGGTACGAAGGAGGTGGAAATGAAGTAAGGGTGTGAGGGTTTTGAATACAATTCACCTAGGCCAAGGGAGAGACAAAGGTAGAACAAACTTCTTTTGTATTCAAAGCCCTCCCACCCTTTCTTCATTTCCACCTCCTCCGTACCTTTATAATATATATTTGAACTCTGATTATCGTTCCACTTCACCTTTTGAGATTTGACCCAATTTATTTATACACTTATATACATATACTATCTTTGTTATTCTTATCACCTGCATAAACCCTATTATCAATATTTTGTTTTCATTATAATCACCGTTATTAACTACGTTGAAAACATTAACCACATTATTATTATTATCATTATTAAGATTATTATTTGATTCCCAAAATCGCCGTCATTGGTTAAAATTTTATATATAAATCTATTTGAATAAGGCATTAAGAAGACAAATTTCGCGAGATGATATCGTTTCGTAGTTTCTTTACAACCGCTTTACAACTAACTCTAATTCAAGGTTATTGAAGGTGATGGAAGCACTTTGGATTAATCACATACAGCCTTAACTGTGTGTACAAAAATCAATAGACTTCGATCTTCGCCTACCCTGGACTACTTGACCTATCTAAATATGATTGGTCATTAGTATGTACTTTTGTTTTTATTTAACTGAGTAATTGTCATGAAATTTATTTTATTATTGTTAACCATGTTAGTTGTAAAGCGGTTGTAAAGAAACTACGAAATGATATCATCTCGCGAAATTTGTCTTCTTAATGCCTTATTCAAATTTATCAAAGGGACTAATTGTTTTAATATAAATCTATGTTATTTAGAGTAAAGCCTGAAGAAGATCTAATTGAAAACAATATTGTTCGCTTATATGTCTTGTTCTAATTTTATTTAATGCAAATCAATTCCATTGATTTCTTGAAATGTGTGTGTGGAAGTGTTCGACTTCCTCTTTTGATTAAGTTATTTACAGTGAAGTAAATTCAATTCGATCTGAATACCTAAATACCTCATTTAGCAAGACTTCCGAACTCACCTCCATTTACAATACAAATGTGAATATCAAATCATCAGTCAGTTATGAAGGAGTATCAATCTAAAAAGAATTAACTGAAAGTTGCGAGACATTTATGGCATTTCCAGTAATTGAATTAATTCTATACATCTCAAGTTAAACTGTACAATGTCTCCACAGCTGGATTTACTCACAATCTTTCTCGAAGCTTTAGCCTATTGACCGTTTGGATAAGACATGTGATGACTAAACTTTGCAATGTTAGTATTGTGTGCTGATTAACATCAGGCTTACTTGTCACTGTTCTCCTCATCCTCAAACTCACGGTCTCACGAATGTAAATGTGTGGCGAGTGAGTCAGTATCGATACCTAGAAACATAAGAGAATAAATTCGCCAATTGAAATCATGTACAGAAAGATGGAGAGGTAGTGAGACAGACATATACAACTATAAACAGACATATAAATTGACACAAATAAATATATTCATTAGTTGGTTTGAAACGATTGAATTTATTTTTGACGAGTTGATAACAGATTGATATCAGTTAGAGAACCAGTGAAAACTGGGGAGTACAAGACAGCAGTTTCACCCTACTTTGTGAATCATCGTCAGTACTTAGATACTGAGTTCGAACTCAGGACCTTCTGGTTACAAGGCAAATTCGGAGACCAATCAGTCACTGGAACACAACTCACTATTCACTACAAGAATTCTAAATTATACCAATTCGTGATTCAGCGCAACCATCAACCAATGTCATCGGTGAGACATCCATCTTTGCAACTGACCTGACTGGTCACGACTTCTGCCTACAACTATATATATATATATATAAATATATATTTATATATAGTTAGAAACATACCCTGACAGACAAATATATAGAAAGGTGCATACATTAAGGATATACAAAAATATACATATTTCCACACATAAGAAGAGGTAGAAATATGTACATACCTACAGCTGTTTACTGAATTTCAAAGTTTTATAAAATTGTCACGGAAAGGAATTGTTTTCAATACAGAATTAATAAAATTCCAACGTTTCGCATTCGACGATAATTTTTCACCTTAGTTCATTTAATCTCTACATAATGTGTTGACGGAGTTTCCTCTTCAAAAATTTAAAACAGTTAGCTCCCTTTTTGAATTTAGACAAAGAAATATATAGACATAGTTTGCCTGAATTGTGTGATGGTCTTTGCCCAACACATTTCGAATACTCCGATCACACAGGAACTTGTCATAGGAATATATATAAAATTGATACGGTTAGTAGACTTGTTCCTTACAAAAATTGCATAGTTAGAGATAGCAATGACCAATCTCCATTTAAGTTCAATGGAATCTCAGAAATCATTTGGACCAGGCATGATGAAATCACTGAGAAGTGGAATGCATTGACCATCCTTCACACCTCATCTATAATTATGTATAAACCTAAAGTGGAATGCACACTTATAAGAACAAAACTTGTGCACTGTAGTAGAGTGTCA